TGTGTGTGTGTGTGTGTGTGTGTGTGTGTGCGTGTGTGTGTGTGCGTGCGTGTGTGTGTGCGTGCGGGTGGGCGCGTTTACGCCATGTTTCTATATTCTTTTTATTTTCTTGGTGAAATTGTACAGGTTTAAGGCCCCTATCAACACTGTTAGGTCAACGAGGCGGAACCTCTGAGTCCAACTCCTGACGGACTGAGTCAATCAAAGGGAAATGCTTTTCAAGTGTCTTTCCCATGGACACAACTTCGGACCGTGTTCATACTGGTTTAATGATTGGCGGCTATTTATGTTAGTTTTGGTAAGAGTTTTACGGCACTTGCAACACAATAAGGTCATGAAAGTGGCGAAGATTAGAAGTGTTACAAGAGAGTAACAAATACAAAAAAGGAGGGGAGGAGATAAAGGCGATAGATGTTTGATAGGAAAGAAGAAACAAACCACACCAGAGCACCCGGCAACCCCCCACTCGGCTATTTACGTAACAAGCGAAAAATGGTCGCTTGGAAAAAGGGAAAGATAGTGTTTGAAGCAAATCACCCAAGGATGCCACAAAATGTCAGTTCTCTGGAGGCAAAATATATCATGTTGGTTTCAAGTTTAAAAAACTCCTATCACTGCCGCAATCTCTCCACCCCCCCCCTCACATATCTCTCACCCACATACACTACACACACACACACACACACACACACACACACACACACACACACACACACACACACACACACACACACACACACACACACACACACACACACACGCAATGCTAACAAGAAATGTAGCAAACAAGTCATATATTTCGCTGATAAAGCCCCATGAGAATATCAAAAAGTCTTACTGTGCTGAGTACAGTATGGCTGCGACAGACGCCGTCTCCGTTGACACAGTCGACGGCGTCCGCTGACACGCGTCAGCTCCTGACATTGTCCACGCTGAAAACAGATTGAAGAACATTGTAGTTAGTTATAGTAGAGGTTTTACGGCGCTCGCAACTGCATAGGGTCATATGAGCGCCATAAGATTAGAGGTGTTACTAGAGAGTAACAAACATAGTGTTACAAGAGAGTAACAAATACAAAAAAGAAGGGGAGATAAAGGCGATAGATGTTTGATAGGAAAGAAGAAACAAACCACACCAGAGCACCCGCCAACCACCCACTAAGAACATTTAAGAACAGATCCTAACTAATCAGCTTCTATTACAAAAAAGGCGAAATGAGAATGACAATATTATGTTGGAAAATGGAAGGAACGTGTAGGTGTTTTCTACGATAATAGTTGTATTGGGGTTTTACGACGCTCGCAACAGCATAAGGTCATATGAGCGCGCGAAACAAGTTGGGTTTTTCTCAACGGTTCATTTCTCGGTTAGATACTGGTCAATATTTCTATTTAAAAAATTGTAAACGCTAAAAATCGAGTGTAAATAGGCTTTAGATTTAAATTTAAAGTTAAAACAACTTTCTGAATAACACTTAAAATTTTTGAATAATCTATTTCATAACTTCCCACAAAGTATTGGCCTTTATAAAATCTAAATTAAATCCTATTAAATTTGGAAGAGCAGGTATACAATGTTGGAAGTAAAAAGTGGAAAATACATACATGTAAATATCTGAATAAAAACAGGAAACAATAGGTTGCCAAGAGCCATGGGGAAGATTGGAACATTAACTTTGTGTCAGATGCGATGCCCATCTGGTGACCGGGAATTTACCAGACTGTAGAGACCTGAATGAATTACTTTTAATGCGCTGATTGGAAGAATTTGTTCTCTTTCATTGGTCCTAACAGAAGTCTCAATTTTGGATCTATAGTCTTAAAATGCGACCTTAACGCAGTTGTGGGCGCTGTTTACCTCCAAAACAAAAGAAAACAACCAAGAAAGAGGGAGGAAACATTTTAAAAGAACAAAAAAGAATAAAAACAGAAATAAAAAACTATAAAAAAAAGAACAACAACAAAAACTTACGTCGTTTGCTGCCAGTGGTTGCTGAGCCTGCAACGCCGGCATTGCAAGCTCAGGACGGGCAGGGCGTGGGTCCACTTCCATTGGTTCCGCTTGCAAAACCGGCATTGCAGGACCTGCCTGTCCTACAGGCATTGCCTGACCGGCCTGTCCCACAGGCATTGCGGGACCGGCCTGTCCCACAGGCATTGCGGGACCGGCCTGTCCCACAGGAATTGCAGGTACCACAGGGGGCTGGTCTCGGCCAGCTTCAGGCCGACCTGCAAAAGAAGAACATACGGTGCGTGAGTGAAACTCTCTTCACAACTCTGCTGCATCTTCTGGTGGCTTTTTGCTTCACGACGTTTTGCTGTAGCTATTGTAGGCGGTACTTTGGTCACTTGTTGATTGATTGATTGAGTAGGCCTTTTACGGCACTATCGACTTGATTTTGGACATTTAAGTGCCAACAGGTTGATTGAGTAGGCCTTTTACGGCACTATCGACTTGATTTTGGACATTTAAGTGCCAACAGGTTGATTGAGTAGGCCTTTTACGGCACTATCGACTTGATTTTTGTCATTTAAGTGCCAACAGATTGATTGAGTAGGTGTTTTACGGCGCTATCGACTTGATTTTGGTCATTTAAGTGCCAACAGATTGATTGAGTAGGTGTTTTACGGCGCTATCGACTTGATTTTGGTCATTTAAGTGCCAACAGATTGATTGAGTAGGTGTTTTACGGCACTATCGACTTGATTTTGGTCATTTAAGTGCCAACAGGTTGATTGAGTAGGTGTTTTACGGCACTATCGACTTTATTTTGGTCATTTAAGGGCCAACAAGTTTTACCGCAACAGAATAAGACATGTTTTAGTAAGAGTCTTTCGGAGATCGCAACCGCACACAGTCACACTATTCTCATTATGCTAAAAGGACGGACAGACATTTATGAAAATTTTTGTAAATATGGTAAAGACTTATTAACATTTGTATACAATATTAATTTCAATGTATGTATATATACACTGATAACGGTAACTATATGTGAGGCAACGTGGTGGAATCAGGCTCTCGTCAATTTTTGGGCATATTGAGTTATTGGTATCATCTTAAAGTTAGTACATTTGTCTTGCTTTCAATGAAAAAATTACCCATCCATCCTCAATAGAAGTGGAAATATTTTGGATTGAAGGAGGTGGGGGTCACCTGATCTAAGAGGTAAAATTAGCAAGAAAATGGCCGCAATAGCTTGGTAAATTCCAAAGCTGGAGAGTCCATGGAAACTGTAAATTTATATATTTGTGCCTTTAATCGACGTTTTCGGTGTAATCCTAAAAAGGAATGTGTTTGTAAATGGACATAAAAGATGTTAAGCCCAAAACAAAATTGAAAAAAAAATGCTATGCAGGGAGAAAACTGCTGTTTTCTTCGATTTCATTATCTTGACGAGAGCCTGATTCAACGACGCTGCCTCTCATATATTTTTATATTCTAGTAAATAGTCCTATTTCTTTACATAACTTAAAAATTTTTAGGGTCTAGAATGTAAAAAAGAGTTTTGATATCTTTACATTTAAAATATCTATTACGTACTTCATTAAATTCGACACATTCCATTAGGATGTGCCGAACTGTCAAATTTGTGTTGCACGCCACGCAAAAAGGAGCTTCCTCTCCTTCGAGCAAATGTCTGTGCGGAAGTGCGTGTGTCCTATCTTTAATCTGGTAAAAATAACTTTTTCTCTTCGCAGGAGAGACAATGGTTTCCTGGGCGCAAGTTTCGGTTGAATGTAATGGAGTTTGTTGTGTATTTGTTGTGTATTTATTGATTCCAAATTTGGGACCAGGAGCTTTTACTTTCGGTTTCATATCAGAGAAAGGAATTTTACTTTTTGTTTTCAGGTAGTTTTAGAGATTCTTTGGCAAATTGGTCAACGGCTTCGTTGCTATCAATGCCTACATGGCTTGGAAGCCAAGCTATTGTAATAGCTTTTCCAGACTGATGTAGAAAATGCAGTTTAAAAGTTTAAAAATATTGTCGGGGGTGTCAGAGCGCTCTAAAGATTTCAGACAAGAGAGAGAGTCTGAAATGATTAAGAAAGTAGACTTGTTTGATTGATCTATTATATTTAGGGCCATTTCAAGAGCTGTAGCCTCAGCAGTGTAGACTGAGGCTTCTAGGTGGAGTTTCCTTAAGCTTAAGCTGTGTGGCGATGCATGGGCAGCAGCTCCTACTGAGGAGTCATTTTTGGATCCGTCTGTAAAGAGTTTCTCTGCTTCAGGGTATCTATTTATTAGCTGTTTGTATGAGTTTAAGTATGTAGTTTTGTCTGTAGACTTTTTGTTGTGTTTTTCAAGACTAGTATCTATGCTTGGTTTGGTTAAATGCCATGGAGGTATGCTGGACATGGCAAAGGGCTCGATTATGTCTTTAGAAAAATCAGTGTCTTGGTGATCGTTCTGGATTCTTATTCTGAAAGGGCTTACTTTATTTCCTTAGGAGAATAGAATTTTTAGATCTTGGGAAAGGCCAAAGACATGGGGTTCTGAGCTAAGTTTCAAAGCGTACTGCAAAGAGAGTTTTTTCCTTCTAAGCTCTAAAGATGGTTCATGAGCTTCTGCCTGTAAACTTTCTACAGGTGAAGTACGGAAAGCGCCTAGGGCAAGGCGAAGGCCTTGGTTCTGAACAGGGTCTAAAATTTTAAGGTAAAACTTTCTAGCTGATCCGTAAACAGGACTGGCAGAGTCCAGCCTGGAACTGACAAGGGAACGGTAAAGTTAAAGAAGTATTTCAGTATCTCCTCCCCATTCAGGATTGGATAATACGTTTAAGGCGTTGAGAGCACTCTGGCACCTCGTCTTTAGGTCTTTCAAGCGTGGTAGGAAAGAACGTTTATTGTCAAAGATTACGCCCAGGAAACGAGCTTGTCTTTTAACAGGAATTTTCTCCCCTAACAAATATAAATCTGGTTGTCGCACACCTTGTGCGACAGACAAAAATGTACACAGTTTGTTTTTATAGTAGAAAACTAAAACCCGTGCCCGTTTGCCAAAGTTTCCAGTTTATGGAGTTGAAGCTGAAGCTGACGTTCAATGTGATCCATTTTGGATTTGGATTTATAGCAGATCAGGAAGTCGTCAATGTGAGCAGTCAATATTGTTTTGAAGGGTTTTTGTGATGGAATTGATTTTGATTTCGAAAAGAATGGGCGATAAGATGCTTCCCTGGGGGACGCCTTCTTCTTGGGTGTGTAAATTTGACAGGGTTGAACCTACTTTTACTTGAAATGATCGATCTTTTAAAAAGTTTCGTATAATTTGGGAAGATTTCCGAGTAAGCCCAAGTCATGCAGGTCTTTTAAAATACCATGTTTTTTCCATATGGTGTCGAAGGCTTTTTCTACAGGGGGATGTGTATGTGTGTGCGTGTACGTGTGCGTTTATGTAAGTGTGTATGTTTGCATGTTTGCATGTTTGCATGTGTGTGTATGTGTGTGTATGTGTGTGCATGTGTG